TGATAATGAACTGGACTAATTAACCGGTCGATATTGCGATTGGACCAATCGGATTGTCTGAATTTATTGATTTAATAATTGTGGTTATATCATAAGATCTTATAATTTTTTACAATGGTTTAGGTAGCTTCTGAAATTAGAATCAAATCACTATTATGTTAGGAGCCATCATAAAACCAAACTTTTTTATAACGGATTCATTAATATGTACGAGATATTATGGAATTCACAGTTTTTCTAACACAATTTCTTTCGGAGTACACATACGATTTCCTAATAAAATGGCCCGTGCCTCGCACATTGTAGCAGACTCCCACGTAATCTCGTCGGGGAACTATTCTTTTTTGTGCAGAAATAATCCATTAGGACAAGAGATGCTATGAAATTGAAATGGTGTAGGGACCAGTTTCCTCAATTTTAAATGTTGAAGACAAGTTGCTACAAACACTAAGGGGGTGTTCTCTTTGTGTTTCAATTTTNGAAGTAATCTCTAGTTGTACTTGTAAAAGGAAGACAAAAATATGAGCACCAATCGATTCCTATAATTAAGGTGCCGTTCTCTTTGTGTTTCAGTTTTGTGTTTTGAGTTTTGAATTCATTTTGTATTTTTTGTTTTGAGTGTCCATTTTGAGATTGTTGAAAACGTGTTCTTTTTGTCATTTTGAAAAATTATTTTGAAAAACTCAAAATTGAAAAGGTGTTCACTTCCAAACACATTTTATTCCCGTTACTCTCTCTCTCTTCCTCCCGTCTCTCTCTACCTCCTTTTCCGACCACTATTTTCGCCGTCGGCACAAACATGGCAGATTGAAACTGTGGGCCCGATCTTCAGTCCTGAGGCTCTCCACGAGGTCGAAGATTAACAGACATGGCAAAGAAGGTTTCTTGAATGCTTTGCGACCAGAAAATTTGCACTGTGAACTTTTTCGTCGCAGTTCCAGCACAGGCTTGCTTGATCAGACTCGCAGTACTCTTGCTGGGTTGCTGCATAATTCACAACTCTTTTTCGACATTGGTTTGTTATCCCCTTTGAGATTTGAATGGAGTTTTTGGTTTGTACATATACAGTTAAGGTTTGGACTCCACAGCCTGTAATCCTCTTATACTGATTTTTTGGGTTAACGAAAAGTTGAAACAGCAACAAATTGCAGCCAATTTCTTCACGGCAAAATGAGGGAAGAAGAGGGAAGAAATTGATTGGAAGAAGAGGGAAGGTGTTACTGTTCCAAAATGGGCATTTCCCGTGTTTTGCATTTTTGTCCTGTTTTTGCTTGAAAACATCCAAAATGATGTTTTGATCGTTTTGTGTTTTGTGTACAAATTTTTTGTCGTTCTCAAAAACGCGTTTTCGAAAATAGGAAAGAGAACGCGTTTTCACTGTTTTGGAAAATCGAAAACAGAAAACGACCCAAAACGGTCAAAGAGAACGGCCCCTAAAGGTTCTGGACGAATTCTGAAATTTTTCCAAAATAGAACTGTCCAATCATAGATTTGCTTGTTATTTTAGGTTTCTAAAGTCATTTATTGCTCAAAAAAATCAAACCGCCCCACCTTTCGGTCTTGTTGATTGTTGGGATTTTTGATCAACCAAACCCAAATAAAAAGCATGATATATAGCAGATGCAATTGTGCATATAAGAGCATCGTTAAGAGATTTTTTTAAAATAATAAAGAATAACTCTGAGATACTTTAAGGGTCCATTTGATTGTAAGAGTGGAATTGGGTGAAAAAAATGAATTTTAGGGAATTGAATTTCCTAAAAATTGTTTTACTGGGAATTATAATTAATTGTGTTTGATTGGTATAATTTTCCACTTGGAAAATGTTGAAAGTTTAGTGTTCGTTTGATTTTGTTTTTT